AAATAAATGTTGAAGTGCATATCATAAGCAACCAAACAATCAAGATACATTATGAAAGACTCGGTCGATTAATTCCCTTTGAGCAGAGAAAAAGCAGTAGCACGGGGCATATCCTCGGAGTAAGTCACTACACTTGCCGATCTGGAGATACGTGGGAAGTGCTGGAGGACCCAATCTTGAAATGAAAATTTTAGAACATACAAATCAGTAGTAATGGCTTTGCAAAGATGAAATGAAAATGAATAAGAAACATTAAAAGACCAATAAATATTATCGTCAGTAATGTGATGATGTTTGTGACTTATTTCGTCTTCCACATACAACCATCTCTCAACTTCGAGTACAGGTAGACCAAACAAGCGGCCCCTAATTGTACTCATAGATCCGCTTGAAAATCTCGAAGTACTGTAGGTAGACGGCATTTGTATAAGTGCCACTCTTGTCCATAAAAGTCGCAGTGCCAACCAAATATAGCATGTATGCTTTCATAGCATACGATATATGAAGCGTCACCTGTTCATCATCACCTGTAGTTTATGCTCTTAGGATCTCATTTGTATATATATTTTTCAGGTATTCAAACCTAGCATCAGCACCCTGGTTCTATCCAACTTCTCCTTCGTCTTTATTGGGTCAGCCCTGATATAATCTACCATCATCTTGAGTGTCTCATCTTTGGTAATTCTCTCATGATCTAGAAGTCTCCCCATAATCGAAAGATGTATCAAACATGAGACATCGTCGAGTGTGATAGACATCTCACCAAACGGGAGATGAAATGACGAGGTCACCGAGTTTTATCTCTCCACGAATGCATTAAACATCCAGTGGATGACCGTAGTATAATCGATTGTGCACAAGTTCTTCATGCCAAATAAGGACAAAAGTGCCTTAAACCAACCCTCATTCGGCTGAGGCAAGCCAGCAATCTTCTGCCTGTGGTTAATAAACTTCAGCGGATCACGGTCCTAAAACAAATAAAAGTCAAAGTCAGGAACTTGTTAATTAAAATAAACTTAAATAAAAAATAATGAATCCAACTAATGTTACCTCTCCGTCCTATATATGTCTGGTAGTATGGTCTGGGTACAGAGGTAGTAGTCACAAATCTACAAGGCCTTCTACAAATGCCTCTAGCTCACCATTTGCAATAGCTTCACCCTTAGGATGTGACATTAGCTCAACAGCATCAGCAGTAGAAGGTGGTAATGGCTCAGAAGCATCTACAGTATGAGGTGCCTCTAGTATCATCGGTGACTCAGAGTGATGCGTTGGTAGGTGAAACTCGTCTCTTATGGGAAGAAAAAGATGGAGAAGCATGGGGAGAAGCACGGGCCTCAAAAGTAGATGGCTCTGCATGGTCAAAGGGATCAGGAGCCTCTGAAATTTGTTGACTCTTCTTCTGTCGTATTTATGTGTGTTGTGCAACCCTCTTGTGCCTCAGTATATTGTGTCTATTAGTCATTATGTCTGTAAGTTAAAATAAAACAGACAATTAATGCATCAAACAATACCACAAGCAAGAAAGTCAAGAAAAAAAAGTTATGGAGAAAATTTCAAAGATGCATCTCCGGTTGCTAGAAAACTAAAACGTTGAAAATTTTTGGAGATATATCTCTAGAATTTTCTGCAACTTAGCAGTTGCGTCAATGGCGACAATGTAGACATGAAAACCAATAAAATATTGCATTGATAATCATTTTCATCCAACTATCATGTTTTGCATTATGTCTAAACTATCAATCATCCAATTTCTACTTATTTCCTATCTTAATCATCAATTTCTACTCATTTATATAAAAAAGAAATTCAAAACATCAAAAAAACTTACAATTTTTCACTTTGCTTCAATGTTGGATAATGTTTTTGATGTTGATTGAAGTTCCTTTGACCTTAGTTGCTTTGTTTTTCAGACTTGGTATTGAAAAAAGTTTGAGAGAGTTTGAAGAGGTTTTGAGAAATATGAGAAATGAGGAAGGAGAAGGGTTCTGGTGCAATTTAAGCTCCAAAACGTTCCGGTGATGCATCTTCGAAATATGTCCTAAGATGCATCTTCGAAATATTTTAACGTGAACTGAGACTTGGGTGTATCTGGAGATGCATCTCTAGAATCTAAGAGCATTTAAGTTTTTTTATGTGGTAGATAAGAAACATAAAAGGTGCATTAAGAAACTCTCTTATTTTATCAACCTTATGGGATGGCTAGTTCACCACAGTGTTAAATAACAAAAGTCTTTATATTTTGGAGATGCATCTTCAGACGCATCCAAATTACACACCCTCAACGCTTGAGTGAGCGAGTCACCCCAATTTTACCTAAAAATGTGTTTGGAGATGCATCTTCGTAATCACCATTAATTCAAAACATTGGGTTTACGCTGACTGAGTTTTACGGAAAGGGAACTTCGAACTGATGGGTTTTAATTCATATACCTTATGCTAGAGCCTTCCCCTTTACTTCTTCATTTGTTACATTTTCACAAACCCTTCAAAGAGCTCCGAGCAATATTCAAGTGTGTCAGCTTCAATACTACTTCAACTGCATTGCAATTAATCCTAGTGGATTCCACTCACTATATTCAAGATTTCACACAACAACCCTCCATCGATGTGTTTTGTATTTTCTTTCTATTTTTGAGTTTGTAATGACATGAACACTGTTATAATAATTTATTTTTAAACAATAATGACAATTCAAATAAAAATATAAATGGTATTTATTTTAAAAATTTAAAAATATAATAATATTTTTATCAAATGAAATTTAATATATGTCAACTATTTTTATGGTTGAGCGATAAAAGATATGGCAACAATCTATATAGTCGATAAAAACAATTTTTGACAATATATTTGGTTGTTGACAAAGATATCTTTTGTAACAACTATGATCATTGTGATTTATAAAATAAGGCAACAATAATTATTGTGATAAAAACGTCAATTATGACAGCGACCTTAAACGTCGTTGCAAAACTTTTTGCAACAACATTAATACCAACAATATGCAACGACATTTTTTCGTTGCAAAACATACATTTCGCAACAACTTTTTATTTTTTCAACAACTTATGTCGTTGCGAAAACTCAATTTTCTTGTACCTATGTTCCTGTGGTTGAATGGAAGTAATTTTCTTTATCCAGCCCATTGGCCTCTATAAATATATCATCCATATCATGAGAATAAACAAATTGTAAATACACACCTAAAATTCACATAGCTTCTCACCTTACGTGAACCTGCTGTATCATCACCATAAACACCACCAAACATGACCGTTCACCGACGCGGACAAACCTTAAACTAATAGAACAATACTCTCTGTCTCATATTATAAGCAAATTTTATTTTTTATATATATTGAATAATTAATGTATCTAGTATAAAGACTAAATACATTAATTATTCAATATATCTAAAAAGTAAATTTTGTTTATAATATAAAACATATATAATATTAAGGTCTTTGTGGTCATCCCTATTAAAGTAATGATACCACATAGTCCATACTTTTTTGACAAATACAAAAATCTATTTTAAAATAGTTAAAAGACCTCCATATTAGTTAAACCTAGATTATATGTGTACACACACAAAATAGACAAATGGATATAAGCACATTGGAAACAACTCCAAAGTGAATACAAACAATTGAGAATATTTTAAGTCACACGTTGGGGAGAGAGTAAATTATCTGATAATAATCCTTTCAATAAATAAATTAATTTAACTATTACTATATATTAAAAATTCTATAAATAATAATTGTTATACTTGTAGTAGACAACTCGAACTAGTAAAACAACTTTTATGCCTAACAAAAGCGATATTTTCTTAATTAACCAATTAAACATTGAGTAAGAAAATAAAATTAATTATTTTTTCATATCTTTTCGTCTTCACATCAGTTACATTTCTCCTTTGTTATATATATAAATTTATCGTCTCTCTCGTCTCATCATTTTCTCTTGATTTCAGTCATTATCACTTGTTTTTATTCTCACGTCTAATCATTCTCTCAATACCTTTTGATATGTTATGCGATAGAAATTCAAATTCCTAAAATTCAATTTTATTTACAAAATCAGTTTAGTTTTATATTTATTTAGGTTTAAGGATGGCTGGATATGTGATAGGGTTTTAATATGACACTAAATTCAATTCTTTCTATTTGAATTTGTCTTTTGTAAAATTCAAATTATACATGTGTTACAGTTTTCAATAGCGATTCTTATTATTTGAATTAGGATGGAGCATAACAAATAGACCATAAAAAAATGAATATTTGACCAAATGTTTATATGATGAGACTTAAATTAAAAAGCAACCAAAAAAGTATCAATTAACAAATACAATGTTTTTTCTTCCTCAACTTAACCGTGACTTAAATGTGTACCAGCATAGTTAAAATTACATAATAGAAATTTGAACGTGAAGATCCACTTGTTGACGATGATAATAGTGACATTGAAAGATGGTAAATAGAGATCTCATAAAACCCCTACCAGAAAACAAAGGTTTCTTCCATAAAAAAAATTTGAAAGAGAAAAAGAAAATAGTATAAAGGAATGAAAGAGTGGTGATAAGGGTGAATAAGGAGAAGTAGAGGTTTTTGTTGGTTTTTTCTCATTTAATTTGCATCCTCCTTTATTCTTCTTCACATTGTTTAACTTTCATTGTGTTTCATATGAGTTTGATTTTTCTACCATATAATGCTTGTGTGATTTAATTATAAGCAACATGATTATCAACCAAGATCGAATAAAGCTCAACAGAATGTCGTAGCACGCATCGATTAGTAGGAAAAGAACCCGACCCTTGCAACCACCGGTCGGTTCGTTTAAATTTTCATCATTTTAGGCAAATACATTGTCTTTGGAAATTGTTCTACATGGGTCAGTTCAAAGTGAATAAATTAAAAAAGCTGAACTGCTAAGCACAATGAAGTTTTGCCATATGAAGTTGCATAAATCGCATAAGAAATGGCACTAAGGAAATTCTAATTTTCAGACCATTCCTCCTTAGTCAACTTCTTTTTAAGGGGGGGCTCTCTCTTCATCTTCTTCTTCATTTCCACAATTCTTGTTTTATAATCCTGCAGGATTTTTTCGCTAATTTTCTCAAAGCCAGGATATATCGCCTTCATTACTTCATTGCTTATCTTGCAGAACTTTCTATACCCTTCAGCAAGCCTCTGCAAATAATCAAAGCAGATCAAATTCGCATTCACCCTTTACCAAGATATGAAACATAAGAGCTGTAATTGGTAAAGCATGTCATAATAATAATAATACAAAAGAAAAAGAGAGAGAAAACAAAAAACTCAACGAATAATTCTAAATTCATTGACGGAAAAACATGCTTACCGCCGTGTCCCTAGTCCAGCGTCTGATGAACGGCGGACCAGTGGTGTACGAACCAAGTGGTTCGCGGTACCATTCACCATTGTATGTTATGTGATCCATTGCTTGTTCGATGCTCAGAACTTCCCATGGTCTCAATCCTGGAATCAGTTTTGCCAACTGTTGCCTAGCTCACAGCAATTCCCAAACCCAGAGAAAATTATCAAACAATAATTAGGAGAACATAGCAATCACAAATTATCAGTGCTGGTAAATCGAGAATCGCAGAAATGCCATTTGTTTAAAATCCGCTGCACAATAGTGTTACAGGCTACAGCGTCACCATAACAATTATTTGACAAACTTTTGTACTAAATAGCGTATCGCAAACAATAACAATTTGTTCAAATAACACTGCTATAAAAACACTGCATTTTATTAAAACTTCCTACTTATTTTGGAGAAAACCTTGTGAAAATGGAAGTAAAAGCAGATAAAAAGTATATTCATATTATATACTAGCGGTAGCGGACATACCTTAGATCTTTGGGAATGCATCTGTTGGGCATGTGATCCTGTTCCATAGTAGGGGTGAGTTCAGGGCCACTAGCCCAAAGAAACATGGCATGACTTGGAATTCTAACTCCAGGCCAAATGCCGTCATTAGCTTCCATCACTGCTAAATCACGCATCTTGCTTTTTCTCGCCTCTTTTTGAAGCTGCTTATAAGACTTCTTTTCAAATCCCTTAAGAGGAACCCATGGTGGTATACCTTTTTGTAGTTTGTGAAAGAAAGCTGTTGCTGAAGCTCCAAGTCGAACTAAAAATTGCCAAAAAAAAATGGTGTCACTTCCTCGACATGCCTAAAAATGGTTGTCAGGCAAACAAAATCCGACGTTTATAATTTTCCATAAATAAAAGACTGTTTATATGAAGTCAATAGATTATCACAAAAAAACATATTAACAACAATAACAGCCAGGCCTTATCCCACTAAGTGGGGTCAGCTACATGGATCAAATTCTGCCATAATGTTCTATCCAATATCATGTTTCTATCTCATTCGTATCACAGCAAAATATATTCAATAAAGTTAATAAGATGGAACTCAACATACCTTCCCAAGTAGCAATTGCACGCTCCATTCCATAAATCATATGGATGGGCGCCCATTCATCCATATCCTCACCCCAAATGAAAGTGTTTTTATCAATAACCCCGCCACCCCAAGCAGTTTTAAGCGTATGCAATGCCAATGGCCCTCGTGTCCGACCTAGCCGATCCTTATAGAACCATACACTACTCTTCATGATAACTTAATCAAATAGAAAATAGAAACAATGTTATACACAATGAGACAAACCAAAAACAGAGAGGATACATGAACTAATGCCCTTTGCGGCTGTGCCATACCCATATACTTGGCATTCACACAGCAGCGAGAGATGGCTGTTCTGTTTGTTTTTCTTTAGTTCCACTCAAACAATGGAATGAAAAATGTACCGCTTTTGTTGTGTTTCTACTTTCAATAAGTATTGGCAAATAGCATAACAGAAGAACAAATTGCTATTGCCCCTCAATATGTGATTTAGTTCATCGGGCCAACATATAGTGGTGAGCTATAGCGATGTAACATGGCAGAATTTCAACAAACCTCTAGTTTTTGCAATTCAAAATTGACAATACTACTTTGAAGTTTGAATGTAGACCAAATGTAAAACCAAATTCACGTGTTCTGATTTGTTTCAACCTATCTGCAAAGCTAAGAAGTAAAAAGCTACATAGAGCTACTATTGAGTCACCTTATATTCATCTAACAACCAAAATCACCGTGTGGCTACCGAGAATCCAATTTCGTAACAAGGTTTAGAAATTAGTCTCACGTCTATGTTTACCAACACTAGATCAAAGAATCTAAACAAAACTAAATAATTGAACATTTCAATAGACACATATTCAAGCACATAATAGCAAATTGGTTCTGACTCCTCTAAGGTGATAATTATGGATCATTGAATATCAAATCAAAGGTAGATATCGCAAGTATATCATCACAAATCATGCATTCGATGAAATAAAAATAATTTATTTTCTCACTTTAAAGGAGACAACTTCGTGCAAATTTGAAATCCATAAGCACGCAATCAAATAATCTCCAATTTAAACTATCAAATAAACATTGGACGGCTCACAATCCAACTTTATTATAGACTCAGGTAGTCAATTCAACGGTCAAAATCTTATGACTCAACTCAACGTTTTAATAATCAAACTAAACAGTTTATCCAGTTGAATCATAAACCAACACTATCTCTAGTACGATTACTCGGGCGGTTAGACCGCAATTATGTCCCCGTTCGAACAATTTAAAGCATTTAAACCATAACTTAAAGAGTTCGCTCGTTTGAACTATTGGTTTCATTTATAAAACATTAACAGGAATGGATCAAATGCGTGATTCTTAGCTACACAGAAAATCTACAACTACAAGCAAAATGCAAATGCAAAATGAATTCAATTTCCAAAAAAACTTACAATCATAGTATCGCCTCTCAAGCACCTTATATCCAATAGCTTGAGCAGCATCAATAGGTTTCCCAGAAGGATAAGGCCTTTGCCGAAACCCCCAAATCCCTAAATAAAACTGTCTAGTAAAATCCCAAAACTTTTCATACGCTAAGCCCTTTGACATAGATTTCCTCGGCATCGGCCTTCCATCAAGCCCAATAACATTCGGCACCTTCTTCCAAACATCTCTATCTTCTCTATTATATGGTTTCTCATTCCTGTTCACCTCAATCTCATTCAGCTTATCCGCAATAAACTCAGCTCTCAGCAGAAACTTTATAACCGGATTGTTACGCAATTTTTCCATAAACTCTTCATTCTCCTTCATTTCTTGTTCCGTCGCGTTAGGGTTTGATTTAAATACTTTTTTTCCGTTGATGACTTTTTCGACCTCTGGTGCCTGTCTATGGTCGGGGAGATTCTCGCATTCCCAGAAGTATTGTTCAACAATTTTAGTGAATGGACCGGGTTCATAGTCTTCATCGGTGACGGCAGTGGTTGCGGTGGTGTTGGTGGTTGTGTTGGTGGTGGAGAGAGATGTGGAAGCGAAATTGGAGGGAGATTGGGAGAGATTGAAGAGGGCGTTGAGAGGAGGAAGAGGGAGAGGGTTTGGTGGTTTTGAGAATGGGAACCAGTTTCCACCAAATGGGTTGAAGTTAATGGAAGACATTGAAGAACAAGAAGAAGAAGAATGAAAGGGTTTAGTTAAGGTGTAAGGATAATAGAGTGAGAGAGAGTGAAAACATTTGAAAAAGAGGAAGAAAAAGTGAAAACTGTTATTATCATTAAATTTATGAGCAATTTTCAACTATCTATCTATCACAATTGAATGAATACTAACTCCCTTATTTGACCTTCAACATCTACTTTTTTTACAATAACCAAAGGACTAAATTGTTTTGAAGATGATACAATCAAATCCTCAACTTCTAACTAATTGACTAACCTAACAAACACCTCATGCATATACTTTATGCTCATAACTTTATGCATATACTTTGTTTTTGATTTATGTTCATCGCTCTATGCATATACTTTGTTTAGGGTTTTTAACAATGTTTTAATGATATAATCTTTACTTTTAAAACATACATGCATTTTAATTTTGATTTCTCTGAATTAATGTCGTCGAGAACAAACAAAAATATGAGAACACAAGAAACCATATTAGATTTTACAAAAAAGGAGAAGAAGGAAGAATAAGAATTGGTTAAATATGTTTTTCTATTCACTTTTTTAATAAGGATTCAAACATTACAAGTGAATGCCAACAATTAACCTCTCTCAACGACTTGAGAGAACTAGTTTACTTATATACTACTAAGCTAACTTAGGATACAAGCTAACTTAATAATTGGACTTAAAAGCAAGACCAAATTCGACATACTAACTTAAATTATAATATATTTTGACATTATGCCCAAACAGACTTTGACTACAACATACACAACTCTTGTCAAACCATGAAGCTATCCTTGTTGACACTAGAGTTTAATCCAAATACCACAAGTCTCCACCTTAGAACAAACTCTATAACAAGGGAACAAATTAGCTTTTATCATGCAGCTTTATCAACTGCATACAGCGGAAAAGCTTGCTACTTGGCAATGTCTTGGTGATCATATCAGTAGCATTGTCATCAGTCGAAACCTTCAGCAATTGGACTTCTCCATGCGCAATTATCTCTCTGACAAAGTGCAACCTCATATCGATGTGCTTGGTTCACTTATGATAGGTTGAATTCTTTGACAGATGTACTGCACTTTGACTATCACATTTAACAACGATAACTCGACCTTGGAGTTTAAGCTCATTAGAAAAACCTTCAAGCCACAATACTTCTTTGACAACTTCAGTTATGGCGATATACTTTGCTTTGGTGGTTGATAAGGTAACAACCTTCTAAAGTGTTACTTTCCAACTAAGTGTTGTGCAAAACATAGTGGACACATATCCATAAATAGATTTTCTAAAATCCATACAACTTGCAAAATCAGAGTCAACAAATCCTTTAATTCCGACTTTACTATCATCACTACAGGCTCCACCATAAATACGAACTCGGCTTAGAGACCCATTTATGTACCTAAGAATCCACTTTAATCCTTTCTAGCGCGCCTTCCCAAGATTGACCATATACCTTCTTACAAGGCTCACTATGTATGTTATACATGCCATAGAATACATCAAATAACCTATTATACTAGCATATGAAATGCTATTCATTTAGGTTCTTTCGACCTCAGTACTAGGATTTTGAGTCGTACTCAACTTGTATTGAGGATTAGTCGGTGTTAGAACAGACTTTGAATTCGACATACCAAACTTGTCGAGAATCTTCTTCAGGTAAGTCTCTTGAGATAAGCAAAATATTGACTGCTTTCTTTCTCTCTGGATGTCAATCTCAAGAATTCTAGAGGCAGCTCCCAGATCCTTCATGTTGAACTCTTTATCGAGTTCATCATTCGCTTTCATAACACCTACGACACTGTTGCTTGCTATGAGGATGTCATCCACATAAAGCAACAAAATAACAAGTGAATTTCCAGGTTGAAATCTGAAGTAAACACAGTGGTCGAACTAGCTCCAAGTAAAACCAATGTGTGCCATGAACTTGTCGAATCTCCTATTCCATTGCCAAGGAGATTGTTTTAGGCCATACAAACACCTATTTAGCTTGCACACATAATATTCCTTTCCCTTTTCTGCATACCCTCCAGGTTGCCTCATCAGGATTGTTTCATGTAGATCACTATATAAGAAGGCTGTTTTCACATCTATTTGTTCAAGTTCTAGGTCGAACTTTGCCACCATGGCTAACAAGATTCTAATTGATCTATGCTTTATAACAGGTGAGAAACATCATTGAAGTCAACACCTTCTTTCTAAGGGAACCCCATAGCAACCAACTTGCCTTAAAACGCTTTGACATCATTCCTTCGATTCCTTCCTTAACCTTAAAGATACATTTACAACTAACTAACCTAGCCCCCGCAAGTTTCTTGATCAGCTCCCAAGTGTTATTATCATGAAGATATTTCATCTTATCATCCATGGCTTTCAGCCATTCAGTCTCGTCTCGACTGCTCATAACTTCCTTATAGTCTATAGGTTCTTCGTCCAGAACCTCACTTGCAGAACCTAACTTAGACTTGTTTGTGCTTAAACAAGAATCAACCAACCTAAAGAAACAAATATTTACAAATAGAAACAAATTTATGATTCAAATATCAAAAGTACACGTAAAGCAATGCTTACCACTAAACTAAAATGACACCATAAATATGAAGCAAAGTCTAAGCACAAAACACATGTCAAAAATTCTAAAGGATAACATATGTTCAAGAATGAATCACACCTAACACACAACTTTATAAAGGGATGAAAAACAAACACGAGGGGTTGAACTCACACCCAACAATCTTGCAAACATCAATTAAAATTATGCATTCATCTAAAAAATCTCATATTGAAAGTATAAAAGCAAAAAATAACAAGGGCTATAAAGGGTTGTAATGTGGCCTAACTAACAAAGAATGGTCAATTTCTCAAGTTCAATTAATTAAAAACTTACCTAATCAAATGAGAGTGATCATTTCTCAAAATCTCAAGAATTCACAAATTTCCTTCATTTTTTTCTTCTGTTTTTCTAATTGTTACACCATTTCACATAACTTATTAGCACAATTTATTTGCTATTTTTTTTCTTTTCAATGTTTTTTCTCTTTCTTTTCTTTTTCACCCTTTTTCTTCTTTTTCAATCTTTTTCTTTCTCAACCGCATAACAATCAACCTTTTCTCCCCAATTTGAATATAACCAAGAAATGCGATGTGAATACTCCCAAACATATTAGGGCAAGGGTAAAAATTCAAACCACAATTCATGGTTGAAGGTTTAAGAAAAAATTCGGAATCCATACAAAAATGAGCTCAACACTAACATGAATTCTAACAAAGGCTCACAGGGGTAAGGAAAATTTCACTCACTCACAAGGTAAATTGACTATTTATTCAAGTGGTTGTGCTCAAAATCAAACAAAATACCTTGATCCTTTTCATGCTTTCATACAATCAACACAAATACAAGATTAAACAAAAGCCAAACGAGTTAAACAAAGATGTTGGTCTCCTGTGCATTTAGTAAACAATGGACGGTTTCCTCACATTTGGCTATGAACTAAAGTGATTTACAAATGAACAAAAAATTATTAGAGAATGAATGACATGTTATTTGTACAAAGCATAAGGTTCATAAACATGTTATGTTGTAGAAAGCAATAAACACATACCTTGACAATGCAACTTTCTTTCAAACTCTTATTACCACCACACATTTTCTTGTTAAAACACCCACTTGAACAATAAAAAAATGCATCCTCAAGCTAATAAAAAAAATAAAACTTGAGAACAAACACAAAAATTTCTAACAACCTAAAAAATATCAAATTAAACTAACTAAATATTAAGTTATACAAACTCAAAAACTATTGAGTTGCCTCCCAGCAAGCGCTTGTTTCATGTCATTAGCTCGACATTGTTATTGTGCTTGACTAGTAACTTTCTCACATACATGTCGATGCTTTTCTTCAAAGCGCAAACTAAAATAAAGTGTCCTAACCAAACACTTGAATATACGTTACGGGAACAAAATATACACAATACTTGTACAAACATAATGAAAAACATATATGTACAAGTTTGTGTGAAAAACAAATATGGAACATAAGTATAAACAAGTGTCGAATACAAATATAAACAAGTATGGAAAGTGATTATATACAAGGATGGAAAACAAAAGAAAAACAAGTATCTATATCTATATATATATATATATATATATATATATATATATATATATATATATATATATATATATATATATATATATATATATATATATATATATATATATATATATATATATATATATATATATATATATATATATATATATATATATATATATATATATATATATATATATATATATATATATATATATATATATATATATATATATATAATATAGACAATTATGTACAAAGGTTAGAAATATAAAAACTATCACAATGCTTTTACCATCAACAACAATCTATGATAATGGCGTCATTTTATTCGAGCTGTAGCATAGCGGAAAAAAGCAAAAGATTTGGAAGAATTCTCTTCGGGTTTTATCGTCTCGACAAGGATCGGTTTGAGGGAAAGACTGTTGTTCAACAGTTTCTACGTTTCTAAGCTTGGTTTGAATGGTTTAGAAGAGTAAAAAGCAGAAAGTAAAACATATGAGTAAGTAAATAATGTATTCTTTAGAGATGAGAGAACTTGTCTGGATTGGATTTCATCTACCCGTCAAATACTTAAATCTATCGATAAGTTGTACGCAATCTAAAACACTCGTTAATATCATCACGTGTCGCTCACAATAGGGTCCATGCCTAAACTTCCATTGAGATTTCAACCGCATTGTTTAATCAACAATCTTTCAACCTATCAAACAACACGAAACATTAAGAATCGATACCCATTATGAATATTAGATCTAAATCTATGTCTAGAGTTCATAACCTAACAAATATTCATCATAGATCCGGATCTGAAGAGTATATGTATATAGCAACTCAAATCCAAACATAAAACGAGTAAATAAGGATAACATCAATATAGATTTAT